GAGAGAGAGAGAGAGAGAGAAAAAAAAAAAAAAAAGAGAGAGAGAGAGAGAGAGAGAGAGAGAGAGAGAGAGAGAGAGAGAGAGAGAGAGAGAGAGAGAGAGAGAGTGTGTGTGTAGCAATGTGTCACATGGATCAAGCGTGAGTACGACACATCATACTCGCGCTGCTCCAACCAGCAAAGTCGGCCCACTGTGAGCAAGGTGCAAGTGGCAGCAAGTCACAGAGGTGATCTTTCAACGCGGCAAGGTCAAACCATATCGTGTGTCCATTTGTGGTGAGGATACTTAAAGCGTCGTAAAGTCGAAAGCAGCCAAATATGCGAAAGCAGCAAGACGAAGTGCGGGGGGTGGGGGGGGTCTTCTTTTTGCCAAAGGTGGAGGAGCAGAATTTAGACACCATTTTCAAACAGACCTGAACACACACGATAACACCACACTAACAAACAGAGGGATGGGGGGAAGGCAAAGAACAACGAGGCGAAGGGCAGGGAACCAAGACCATAGGATGACAAGCCACAACACGGCACATGAACTTAGAGACACTAGAGGAGGAACAAATAGTAAGGCAACACATAAGCTGAAGCACATGGGCGAGGTTGTAGGGCACAAGTACAAGTATCGAAAAACTGCAAAACAACCAGAAGAAAAGAAAACAGCAAAGGACAGGCTGGAGGGTAGAGGGGAGGAGGGTGGGCAAACAAACAACACAAGGCAAGAAACAAAGATAAAAAAAAAAAAATTAAAAGTTGATGATGAAAGATTGTTTCGTTGGAGTTGCACCGACTCATCAGGAGGCTGAACCCTCAACAGTCTGCGGAGTCTTCGTATTGGATGAGTATGGCTAGAGCGTAGGGATAGATCTCCTAGCTCAATTGCACGAAGTCATAGGGGTAGAGGGATTATGGACGAAATAAGTAAATTACATATCATATGGATAACATCTCCTCGCTCGCCTAGCACGTGCATTATCACCCTCACGCTTAACCCTTGCTATAGCATAACAAAGTGTTCCATATGATACTTCAGTGAAGATACGAAAAACACGAAGACAAAAGATGGTCTGATCCAACAACCATAGCATACAGTGGAGAAACTTCATTTTTCTCAAATGATTAAGCAGAGAGAAGAGGGAACAACCAGTCATTACTCATGCAGACAGGCAATAGGCGAGAGCTAGGGTGATAAGAGACGAGGAGAGAAGAAGAAGAAGAGAAGAAGGAAAAAGAAAGGAAGGAGAGAAGAGAGAAAGGAAGGAGGGGTAGGAGGAAGAAGATACAACACGATCGCGAATACTTGAAAGCCCAAGCGCTTAAATCGTTTCCAATAACATGAAGCTCATGAATGACCCCCATTGGGCAAAGCGTCCTGAGTTGAAGGCACAGGAGATCGTCATGCCCTGTGGAAGCCAGCGTTGGCAATCCCGACATGTTTCGACTGCAGCCGACCAACAGTCATCATCAGGGGAGGCGCTAGGATCCAAGATGTCGAGAATCGTGTTCACGAGGGAATAAATAGTGAGGAGAACATTGCCAAGGTGCGGGGAGGAAGGGAAGTGGATGGGGGAGTGAGCAGAAA